GTCGCGAGATTTAAGTACTCGTATTTACTTAGTTTGAAAATTTTAAAAATTAAAATCAATCAGATCAAGTTATTTAATTTGCTTGTTTATATACACAGATAAATCTCACGACAAGATTTTATATCATAAATTGTGTAACGACTTTATACGTTGATAGCAAAAAAAGTTTTAAAAGAAAAGTTTATTTCATTCTTTTTAGAGCATTTAAATAAAAGCTTGTTTTTAAAAAAGTTTTTCTTTACTTTTAATTTATTTTTTACTTTTTAGTTATCGCTGGACAGAAGTTTCTCAGTCTGTTAATCTCATCAACGCATCATTGTTGCAAGGTCGATTACCGGTTAATTTTGAACAGTCCAGCTAAGGGGTACTGAACCTTTTTTCCCATCGAGCCACATAAAAATGCTAAATATTCCTCTAGGGGCCCAACAAGAGGATAATGGGAAGGGCAGGGGGATAAACACTGTTACACCAAAACAACATTGAACAATGCAAAATTAATTAAAATATTAAAACTCATCTTTTTTTTTTTTGCTTTTACTACAAAACTATATTAAAAAAAAAAAACACATTTTTTTTTTTTTTAAATCCGTAATTTTATTCCAAAATGTTTCAATTCTTTTGTGCAGAATATAGAAAATACTTTTCTACAAACGAAAAAATATTTTCATGTGATTATAAGATCGTGGACAAAAAAAATTAACACACCAAGATGGAGTCATCAAAAGGAAACGAAACTTTACATACGTAATGACAACTTTAATATAAGTAAATGATTAGAAAATCAAAGAAAAAGGATCAATTACTTCAGAGAAAAAGGTAAAAGAACGGAGGATTTAATATCCTGTTGAACCCCCTTTAGCGCGAATGCACGATGTGATACGATCGAGCATTGAGGTATACAAGCTCTGTATGATGTCTTGAAACATTTAATTCCATATTTGATGTATCCTTGCTTCTAGTTCGTTCAAAATCGTAGTATGCCCATCTCGTCATCCCAAATTATCTCAAATATACTCGATTGGAGACAAATCTTGGGATCGGTTAGGCCAAGGAAGAGTAGTAAAAGTTCGGAGACAGTATTGTGACTTTCTTGCCATGTGAGACCAAGCATTGTCTTGTTGCATGAATGACAACACATGTGGTTGCAGGATGTTATGGACATACCGCTGGGCTGTCATGGTACCTCGGATCAATGGTAGGGGTGAACGTGTATTGTAGGCAATGGCAATACATACCATCACAGCAGCTGTGGGAGCGATGTGTCACTGTAAAGCAAAGACAAGATTGAAGCGTTCCCCACGGGGTCTCCATACACGGACACGATTGTCATCATTGCTGAGATTGAATCTGGATTCATTGCTAAAGAAGACCTGGTTCAATTCCTCTGCTGTCCAGTTCTCGTGTGCGGCACCACTCTAAACAGAGGCGCCGATGGGTGAGCGTTAAAGGCAGCACACGTAATGGGAGCCGCCATCCCAAATGTCCTTCAACTAGGCGCCTTAATATGGTTCTAGGAGATACATGGGCCCCTAGTGAAGGAGCTACCTGTGCCTGGATGGCGGTTCGTGAAGCAGTTGGCTGTACGCGTACATTTCTAACGATGTGGTGGTCTTCCCCTCGACGACTGGTCTGTCGAGGGCGTCCTGAGCCTGGTCTTCGTGTAAATGACATCTCTTGGATCTACTAGTCCCAACACATCCTCACAACACAATTAGAGCGGACTAATTGACGAGCTACTCACCTAGCTGACCACCCATCTTTCAACATGCCGATGATTCTCCCTCTTTCAAATTGCGGAAGCTGCTCATATTGTCCTCGGAATTGGCGTAATGACATGTTTACCTCTTCTTTATTGTAAACGATTCAGCACACTCAAACAAGCTTTGGTTACCTGCTGTACACTCCACCTGTCAAGCTATTTAGGAATCGGTGAATGTTCACTTACTCAAGAGCTTAGACAGTGAGAGGGGAAAGGGAATTTTCATGACAATATGTTATGCATTTAAAAATTTTCGTGCAACATCAGGGGGAAATAAACTTCTCTGACAAAGAAAAGAAGCGAAAAAATTTCGAAACAGGGAATTTTATACACTCGGTAGAAGCCCGAGAAACGCCGGGCTAAGCGACGGAGGGGGGCAGTCATTTTGAAAAAGAGTATTAGAAGTGCTAATTTTATGAAGGAAAGGGAAAATTTATAAAAGTACAGAAAGCCCGTGGAACTTGTCTTTTTAACTAATTGCGATATCTTAATATAAATGGTCAAAACATGCATATTCCTCCAAATTAAGCATTTATACCAAATTTCAGCTCAATTGGTTGATGACATCAGCTTCAAAATCAAGTTGCAAGATTCCACCCGAACAATTTACATTGGAAGTTTAAAAAAAGCTTGTAAAATATAACATACTTTGTATGTATACGGAGCAAAAGTATTGAAAAATATCTCGTTGAACAAATCAAACGAATTTCAAAAATATTTGACACAAAAAACAACAATTGAAGGCGCGGGTATCGAGCCCGTGCCTCTCTCATACTAAGCGAGCGCTCTACCATCTGAGCTACGCCCGCGGTCTACACCTTTTTTATTGTAAACATGCTCACCTTAACACCTGAACAAGATCGTTACAGTAACTAGGTCAATTAAAAGTGTTACGGCAGAAACTAGAATCGAGTAAATAGATATCATAGAATGTTTCAAAGTAAATAGAAATAGTTTGACAGATCTTCCTTTCTTAGTGTTCCCTCTAGAACAGTAGAAATATAACATACACTATACGCATGCAGAGTGGAAGCATTGTAAAATATCTCGTTGTACAAATGAAACGAATTAAAAAATATTTTACACGAAAAAATAATAATTCGAGGCGCGGGGAATCTATCCCCGTGCCTCTCGTATGCTAAGCGAGTGCTCTACCATCTGATCTACGTCCCCGGTCCACACATTTATTATTGTAAATATGCTCAGCTTAACACCTGAACAATATCGTTATAGTAACTAGGTCGATATTGGAATATAAAACGTCAAAACATGCATTGTCATTCAAACTAAAAGTATATACAAAATTTTAGCTCAATCAGTTGAAGACATCAGCTTTAAAATTAAGCTGCAAGATTCCACCCGAACAAATTACTGTAAATAATATCTTTTTAACTAATTGTGATATCGGGATATAAATGGTCAAAACATACATTGTCATCCAAACTAAATGAGCAGACAAAATTTCAGCTCAATCGGTTTAAGACACCAGCTTCAAAATTGAATTGCAAGATTCCACCCGAACATTTTACACTGCAAGTTAAATAAAAGCTTGTAATAAAAACGAAAGCATTGGGGTGATTCAGTCACCTCTCGCGACTACTAACATTAGTATTGAGTGCGCGCCTGTTCTTCCGAGTTAAAACATTTTGAAGTCTTCTCGCTTTAAATATTAATGCCAAATGTGATGCATATGATAGAGTGCAACATAGACTAGACTCTTTTTCTAATGGCATTTATACTTTTAGAAAATGGATGATTTAGGAAATAAATTTTTAATCAAATATCATTTTGCAATGCGTTCTAATTTAAAAATTAGAGAAAAGAAAAATAACAATAATTATCCTATTACTTTTAAGTAATAGGATAATTATTGTTATTTTTCTTTTCTCTA